CTGAAGGATTATGACATCACTATCTTGTATCAGCCGGGCAAGGCCAATGTGGTGGCCGATGCTTTGAGCCGCCGGGCAAAGAGTTTGGGGAGTTTGGCTTATTTACCAGCAGCAGAGAGGCCTATGGCGATGGATGTTCAGGCCTTAGCCAGCCAGTTTGTGAGATTGGATCTTTCGGAGCCCAGTCGGGTTCTAGCTTGCGTGGTCTCTCGGTCTTTCTTGTTTGATTGTATCCGGGAGCGTCAGTTTGATGACCCTCATTTGCTTGTCCTCAAGGACAAAGTGTTGCATGGCGATTCTCGAGATGTGACTATTGGTGATGACGGAGTATTGAGGATGCAGAGTCGAGTTTGTGTACCTAATGTTGATGGGCTTCGGGAGTTGATTCTAGAGGAGGCCCATAGTTTGCGGTATTCCATTCATCCGGGTGCCGCGAAGATGTATCAGGATTTGAGGCAGCACTACTGGTGGAGGCGGATGAAGAAAGATATAGTTGGGTTTGTAGCTCGGTGCCTTAATTGTCAGCAGGTGAAGTATGAGCACCAGAGACCGGGTAGATTGCTTCAGCAGATAGAGATTCCGGAGTGGAAGCGGGAGCGGATCACCATGGACTTCGTATCTGGGCTTCCACGGACTTTGAGGAAGTTCGATGCCATTTGGGTTATTGTGGATCGGCTGACCAAGTCCGCGCATTTCATCCCTGTGTGTACTACCTATTCTTCGGAGCGGTTGGCGCAGATTTATATTCGGGAGATTGTCCGTCTGCATGGTATTCCAGTTTCCATCATTTCAGATAGAGGTACTCAGTTCACATCGCGGTTCTGGAGAGCCGTACAGCATGAGTTGGGTACTCGGGTGGAGTTGAGCACAGCATTTCACCCTCAGACGGACGGACAGTCCGAGCGCACTATTCAGATTCTTGAGGATATGCTCCGTGCGTGCGTGATTGAGTTTGGAGGTTCTTGGGATCAGTTCTTGCCATTGGCAGAGTTTGCCTACAACAACAGCTATTAGTCCAGCATTCAGATGGCACTGTACGAGGCTTTTGGTAGGCGGTGTAGATCTCCGGTGGGTTGGTTCGAGCCGGGTGAGTCTCGATTATTGGGCATAGACTCGGTTCAGGATGCTTTGGAGAGAGTTAAGGTGATTCGGGATAGACTCCATACAGCCCAGTCCAGACAGAAGAGTTACGCGGACCGGAAGGTTCGTGATGTTTCCTACATGGTTGTAGAGCGGGTTCTGCTTCGGGTTTCGCCTATGAAGGGCGTTATGAGATTTGGGAAGAAAGGGAAGTCGAGTCCGAGGTTTATTGGCCCTTTTGAGATATTGAGGTGTGTTGGGGAGGTTGCTTACGAGCTTGCCTTACCTTCCAGCTTGGCAGGAATTCATTCGGTATTTCATGTCTCGATCCTCTGGAGGTATCACGGTGACCCGTCGCACGTGTTGGATTTCAGCTCAGTCCAGTTGGAAAAGGATCTATCTTATGTTGAGGAGCCAGTGGCAATATTGGACAGGCAGGTTAGGAAGCTTAGGTCAAAGAACATTGCATCGATGAAGGTTTAGTGGCGAGGTCAGCCGGTCGAGGAGGCGACCTGGGAGACCGAGCAGGATATGCGCAGCCGTTACCCTCATCTTTTCACTACTTCAGGTATGTCTCTATGCTCGTTCGAGGACGAACGAATGTTTAAGTGTGAGAGGATGTAACGACCCGGCCGGTCGTTTTTAGAATTTACATCCCGATCCCCTATTAACTGCTTTCCCCATGTTTATTTCTGCTATTTTGAATTGCCGGGATGTTCGGTTTTGAATTTCGGAGAGTTTTGGGACACTTAGTCCCTAAATGAGAGCTTAAGTCTTGGAAATTTGACCATAGCCGGAACAGTGTGAAGACGGCCTCGGAATGGAAATCCGATGGTTCCGTTAGCTCCGTTGGGTGATTTCGGGCTTAGGGGCGTGTTCGGATTGTGTTTTGGAGGTCCGTAGCTAATTTAGGCTTGAAATGCCGAAAGATGGATTTTTGAAGTTTCCGGTTCGATAGTGAGATTTTGATCCGAGGGTCGGAATGGAATTCCGGAAGTTGAAGTAGCTCCGTGGTGTTGAATGTGACGTGTGTGAAAAATTTCAGGTCATTCGGACGAGGTTTGATAGACTTTTTGATCGAAAGCGTATTTTGAGAAATTTGGAGTTCTTAGGCTTGAATCCATGGTTAATTTGAGGTTTCGATGTTGTTTTAGGTGTTTTAAGGATTGGTACAAGTTTGGACAGTGGTATTAGACTTGTTGGTGCCTTTGGTTGAGGTCCCAGGGGGCTCGGGATGATTTCGGTGGTTGACGGAGGAAATTTTGGAGTTTGAGTTGCAGCAGCTACTGGTTTCTATCATAACCGCACATGCGGTTCGGGTTCCGCAGGTGCGGCGCCGCAGATGCGGGTATTTCACCGCAGAAGTGGTACCGCACCTGCGGATGGGTAACCGCAGGTGCGGAAATTAGCCCTTAAGTGATAAGTCGCAGATGCGACCTTTGTTCCGCAATTGCGGGACCGTAGAAGCGGTCCCAAGGCCGCAGATGCGGAAACAACTGGGCAGAAATGTTTTAAAAGAGGTTCGCGACTTTGGGGTTTATTTCCATCATTTTAATCGTTTTGGAGCTCTTGAAGGGGATTGAAGAGAGATTCGAGAGGAATCACTTGGAGGTAAGATTCTTGGTCTTAAAACTCATTTCTAATGTGAAATCTACCTAGTAAATGATGGAATCTAGGCCTAAAATTGAAGAATTAGGGCTTGAGATTAAGAGACTTTAAAATGAGAATTTGAGGGGCCATTTGGACTCCGATTTCAGTGTTCTTGGTAGGTACGAACTCGTGAGAGTGTAAGGATTCTGGAAATATAAATTTTACCCGATTTCGAGACGTGGGCATGAGTGACGTTTTGGTCATTTTACCTAATTTCGCGTGTTAGCTTAGAATTTCTTTGTAGAATCAGTTACTTGAAGTGTTATTTACATTATGCAATTGAATTGAATAGATATGGGCCATTTGGAGTCGAGTACTCGTGGCAAGAACGTGGTCTCGGGTTGATTATTAAGCCGGTTCGAGGTAAGTGGCTTGTCTAACCTTGTGTGGGGGGCATTTCCCCTTAGGGTTGATATTGTGATAATTGAAATGCCTTGTACGTGAGGGGACGAGTGCGTACTTGTGCTAATTGTTGGAAATCCGATTTTTCATTAAAATAGCCTTAAATTGTGTCCTTCCTTTTTCTTGCTTACACTATTTGGGAATTTAGCCTGCTGTTAGTCTAGAGAAGCATGTCTAATTGACTAAATTGCTCTATTTGCCTTAACTGCCTTATTTGTATTACGTGAAGCATGCTAGGTTAGAATTATCTGTTTTGCCATGGTATGAAGTTGAGCTTAATTTGAGTAATTCCTTTTTACAATTGTTGTGCGTTTATTTTAGGGCTACGGGAAGGCATCCCGGGAGACCCCCGTACGTATTCATGATCGAGCTGAGGTGCGGGATACCGAGAGATCCCTGGCACATATATTGAGGATACTAAGAGATCCTCGGGATACCAAGAGATCCCTGACATATATTGAGGATACCAAGGTATCCTCGGGATACCAAGAGATCCCTGGTATATATTGAGGATACTAAGAGATCCTCGGGATACTCAGAGATCCCCGGTTATTATCCTTGTGTTTGTTTTGCCTCTGTATCAGTTGTAGTTATCTTATATCCTGTGATATTTTTACTGTTGCACTTATTTATACTGCTCTTATCTACACTGTCGAACTTTATATTATTATTTAATCTCAGTAGGGCCTTGACCTTCCTCGTCACTACCCGACCGAGGTTAGGCTTGGCACTTACTGAGTACCGCTGTGGTGTACTCATGCCCTTCCTGCGCATGTTTTCATGTGCAGATCTAGGTACCTCTACTCAGACTTACCATCCTTGAGGCGAGGCGATTTTACGGAGACTTCGAGGTATATCTGCCGCGTCCGCAGACCGAGGAGTCTCTATCCATTCTCTCTTATAGTGATTAGCCCTTCTATCTTTACTGTTGTTGTAGACTTTCCGGAGTTAGAGCATTTTACTATATTCGTAGCTTGTGATTCATGGGTTTCTGGTTTTGGGAACATGTATTAGTTTTGAGAGTTAACGTTGTGTATGCCGGGTGGCACTCTTAAACGTTGTTTATTTACTCTATCTCTGTTTTAACTTATTTTTTTTCTTCCGCAAATTTGGTTTATTTTCCGCATTTTAGGCTTACCTAGTCGTAAAGACTTGGTGCCGTCACGATGGTTCACGGAGGGCGAACCGGGATCGTGACAGGGCTAAAAGTGATAATACCCATTTTCCTTCCCTTTTTCATTCCTTCCCCTGATATAATAAAAAAAAATGTACCAAATACTATCTTATTTTTGATGTAAAAATAGCACGGGCTAGCCAGTTTTCGGACTGGTCATTCAAAAATAGCCAGCATTTGCAAAGTCATTAAAAAATAGCCTTGAAAAATAGCCACTATTTTGGTGCAACAGGGACCGGTCCAACATAATATACCGGAGATCGGTGCACCCGTATATGAACTTCCAGTATATTATGCTGAACTCCAACACGCGAAAAGTTCCACCATAATATATTGGAGATTGGAGCAGTTGTCTATGAACTTCCAGCATATTATGGTGGTGCAGTGTATTATACTGGAACTCCAGTATATTATGTTGGAGTTCGAGTATAATTATGCTGAACTCCATTATAATATGCTGGAGTTCCAGTATACTTATGCTGGAACTCCATTATAATATATCAGAGTTCCAGTATATTTATGCTGGAATTCTAGTATATTATGCTGGAGTATTTTCCGAGTTTTGAACATTTTTTCGTTCAGATTTATCTCTACATGAAAAGCGGCTAAATTTCGATTACTTTTGAAACCGTGTTTATTTTTGAATGACCACTCGTAAATATGGCTATTTTTTAATTTTTCCCATTTTTGATAGCGTCGCATAACTTGACCCTCTGCAGAACTATCTTGGGGAAGCTGAAGTAAAAATTTAAACATGGCGGAAACCGTAACCCTAGATTCCTCTACCCATCCACCTCAACTTCCCGACGAAAATCCTACCGGAAACGATGACGAAGACATGCTCGACGCCCCTAAATCCACTAAAAGTTCTGATTCGGATTCCGACTCAGAGGATGACGCACAGCAGAATCTACAAATTCAAGCTCTACAAACGGAGCTCTTAAATAACCCTTCCAATTACGATGCTCATGTTCAAGTATTTCTCTCTCTCTCTCTCTCTCTCTCTCTCTATATATATATATATATATATATATATATATATATATATATATATGCTTATTCACAAATTAGTAGGAAGGAATATATGTTCTATGGAAAATAGTTTGTGAATCATTATCTATTGGAGTAACAGATAATCGTACAAGGTGTAAGATAAGGTATAAGGATAGTATTTTGATGACATTTTTGAGTACGGGGTTGACAATAATGTCTAGACCCCAGGGCTTAGTTCAAGTGGCAAAGGTTGAGGGACTTGTGATTTAGGTCACAGGTTCAAGCTCTGGGCCATGCGAAATAAGACTGGTTGTTTAAGTGGAGAAGGGTAGAGCGGCAGGCCCATTACCCCTTTCGAGTGGTCCTAAAGGTTGCACCCAGACGGTTTCTCGATCATCAAAAGAATAGACCAATAATAATGTCCAGGTGATCACTGAAATAAGTGATATGAGTAAGAGTTGAGATACTGGTAAAGAAAAATGAACTCTGTCCATAAGTGCGAAAAGTTATTTAACCATTTGGTGGAAACATATTCTTTTCATAGACTAAGGTAACTTTTCGTTGAGAACGTTTTCCTCTATACGAAACACACCACGAATGCTCGCTAAAACTATTGGTTTATCTATTTCTATGAGGTTAAATGATTTTTCATTTTGGAAGCAATTATTAGTTGGGGCTGTTTTCTGTTTTTTCTGCAGTATGCATGTTTGTCTGTTTAGAGATTGATGATACAATGTTTTTTTTGTGTCTGTATAGTACATAAAAGCTTTAAGGAAGCAAGGGGATATAGAGAAGCTTAGACAAGCGAGGGAAGCCATGAATGCTATTTTTCCTTTGAGTTTTGAGATGTGGCAGGAGTGGACTAAAGACGAGACGTCTCTTTCTTCGGGGTATCGCTTTTCATTTTTTCCTACTGTATTTATTCTTAGTTAAATTCTTTTTCTTTCTTGTTTAATAATGGATGTTGTTTAATGATTTACAGATATCTGTACCATATCGAGGCATACTTAGTCTTTAGGTTCTTCGTGATAGAAAGGCAGTGGATAAGCATGAGAGATTGTATAGGTTAGGGCCACAGGAAAGGACAATACAGAAGATTTATGTGGAACTTATTCTATATGTTTTACATTGTATTGCTCTCCTATAGAGACTTGTGCTCCTGGATGCTCAGTTGGATCTCTAATTAGTAAGGGGAGCAGAGAAAATAAAAAGCAGCACGTTTGTTCTGTAAATTTTGTATTTTCCTTTCCCAAATAATACTTATCCAACAATTGCATTTTCTTGTTCTCTCATTTCCACTTTACTGTGAACCAGACTGAAGTTGTGGGGAAGATCCAAATCCGTTTGGAGATCTCTATTTCCTAAGCTAAAATAGAGAACACATAGTCTTCTTTGAGCAAGTTTTTTCTTTTTTCCGTTTAACAAGTTGACTTGACCTTCTGAAAAAAGTTGATTCGACACCATGTTGAATCATGTTTCCATCCTGCTCGCTATTCTCTACTTTGACGACGCATGCTTGCTGAGGCGATCCTCTCTATAACTTGCATGACCTGTTCTGATTAATTTTGTAACTTCCCTTACATGTTATCTGAAGAATGTTATGTACCAGTCTGCACTTTAAGATAAGATGGGAGAAAGAATAAAAGAAGCGGTCATAGATGAAGAGGGCATCTCATTTCTTATTGTCTGTTTGTTCACTCACTTTGACTTTATTATAATTATTGTTGTTGTTGATTTCTGAATAGCTTATTATTGAAATTCAAGAGAGAAAAGTCATTAATGGCTTCAACTTTAACAAGAAATTAACGACTGGAGAGTTCTAATCTTCAAAACAAAGGGAGTAGAGAGTGGATAAAGAACTAGGGGAAAGCATTTACGATTTTCCAATCTACAGCAGATCTTTATTTACTAGAGAAACTTCTTTAGATTTGGAGTTAACGAATTAGCTTTAGTATATGAGCCATTGTTGCAAAAGGATGGGGAGGAGGTTTTGACAAGGAATGGAGAAACTCCATGGGAGGGTGAAGACAAATAGAGTAGAACGTTTTATGGTGTAATGCTCAAATCTGACCTTTTTTCTTACAAATTTAGATGTTAGAAAAAATGATGGGTTTGTACAGGCTGATATATATGTAAATGACATTGAGTTTATTCTGACACTATTCGTGTAATATGATAATTTTTGAGACACACAGAGATTCCCTTGGTTTATTCATTCTTGTTTATATATTCTGCCTGTTTAGCCTATGACACATAATGAAATAGAAAAAAAAAGCAACTTTTGCTGTCTTCTTATTTTTTTATTTGCATGTTTGTTTTGCAGACCCGAGGCTCTCCCTGCAATTGAGAAGCTATTTGAGCGTGGGGTGTCTGACTATCTTGTAAGTAGTGTGTTAATGTCACTGTGAATCCTGGTGCTTATTCCCTTTAAAAGTGTGGAAAGAACTTAAGGTGCGAGCCAGGCTCTGGTTCTAGATTGAAAACACTAATGCTTTCTGTTGTATGTGCTATATGCAAGATGGCTCACTGGGAGATCCAAAATATAATTGCTTTGTCCGTGCCTAGTGACTTTAAGATAAGCTTAATCTTTATTGAACGTGCCCTGTTTATTGTTTAAGAGTTGCCTTGCCTTTATTGAAATGACTTTGACGGAGAATCTCAAGTATATAGTTGTCAAATATTTCTTTGTATTGCAAAAGACGCAAAAGATAATAGAAGCCTGCCCTTGGTAAAGTAGAATGGTGTAAGGGTCTGTGTTAGAAGCCTTTCTCTGATACCTTAATAATCCTTTTCCTTGTGCTGCTTCATAGTAGGATGGTTATGTGAAGGACTTCCAATGTTTCTACATTATTTCAAAGTTGTCTAAATCTCATGCTGCTATTAGAACAACTTTGTTGACGGAAATCGTATTAAAGAAGTAATAATTCGAAGTTGTTTTTTGCTTATGAAGAATTTTTGGAAAAGAAACTTATCTTTGATATTCCGGAAATATCTTCATGACAAGAATTGTCCTAATATTGTCCTAATATATTCCATTTCAAAGAAAGAATTGTCCTAATATTGCCCCCAAGGCTTTGGTATGGTGCTAAGAGCGCAGTGCATGATATGTGGGCTAGGCGCACGTCACGGGTTGGATCTTTTTCATAGACAAAAGCCTGGTAGTTAAGTGGAGAAGGGCAGAGGGATGGGCCCATTCACCGAGTTTCAAATCGTGTGCCACTGGCCCTTGGGGATTTCTCGGTTATCAATAGATGAAAAAAAGAATTATCCTAAATATTCTTTTCATGTGAAAAATCAACACAATTACTGCTTTTAAAAGGACAATGAAATGGGCCAACATTAATAAAATTGTTACCATATCAGAAAAAAATGAGGACAATGAAATGGGTTTTGCTTGAATCAAAATAAATGTACTGATTGTTTTTCGCTTGATGCAGTCTGTTGCTTTGTGGTGTGACTACTTAAGTTTTGTTCAAGAGCATGACCAATCAGTCCGTACACGTTCCGTCGGTGGAATTTCAAAGGCAAGAAATCTCTTTGAGCGTGCCCTTGTAGCTGCTGGTTTGCATGTTGCTGAAGGCAGCAGGATATGGGAATTATACAGGGAATTCGAACAAGATCTTTTCCTCACAATTGATGAAACTGATGCGGACGTAAGAGCTTGACACTTTCCTTTCTTTCCTTTTATGTGTGCCGTTGTCTCTTTAGCCTTTTCTTAAGATATAGTAGAGCTAGCCCTATCTAGTTTGAGATTAAGGCGTTGTTGTTGGTATTGATAAAGAGCACAGTTCTTTCCTTAGCCCTTGTTTCTTGTAAGGTTGTGTACCTCTCCAGATGTGAGGAAAAGGGAACATTTCTCTTTCCTTATGGTTGTTATCACCATGCACCCCCTCTTTGTTTTTCCTTCAAGCATACACCATGTCTTTGATCATATTTCCCTGCTCATATCACAAGTCATGTTCTTGAGGAGCTTGCTACCATTCATCTAATAGAGCTTCTTCCAAATCACTGTTTCTGAGAGTTTACGGGCTTTTAATGTCCCCCCTCTGAATTAAGAATGTGCTAATAAAAAATGCTGCTGCGCCTTGTTGTTCTTCCTCTGAACCAGTTATCACTCCCACCCCCAAAATGGGTTAAACTTGTGTCGTGGTTTGACTCTCAAGAAATCATGAACAGATATAAAGAAGAGGTGTATCTTAACTTTTACCATTTCAAAAAAAAAAAAGAAGAAAAAGGTGTTTCTCAAATCTTCGGTTGCTTTTACTGGTTCATGGGACTGATACAGCTTAATATTGCAGTTCTCTTTATATAAGCATACTTCAACAACATACTTCAACAACTGGTAGCAGATTGAAATGTTGTATACTTATATACGGGGAAAGCCTATTTTCATTATTGAATGAAGGCCGAGAAAAAGAAAGCACATATTGAGCTGTCCCCTCTTGTGTTATGAGTTTGCATAATATTCCATTCAGTGTAGTTATTTGGTTGAGTTAATGTCGAGAAACTATCTATTTTTAGTAACTTCAGTTAGTTAGGCTTTGACTCGAATGTTAGGTCAGAGTTATTGGTCCCACAAAGATGCCTCTAGTACTAGTACCTTTGCTGAAGATTAAAATGTTGGGTCTAGAACTTTCCTCAATTGATATCCTGTTCTGTATTCTCGTGTAATACGATTGCTATATGACGTTGGTATTTGGTTACTATATTGGGACAATGTTCAAAAAATAACTTGATCTGTATCTATTTTCCACATTTTATAGTTGATATTTGTTAGTGGATGTTTTCTTCATTGTGATGCAGTTGAGAGAGAAGCAGGTCCAGCGGATTAGGAATTTATTCCATCGCCAGTTGTCTGTCCCTCTTGCTGATATAAGTTCAACTCTTCACACATACAAGGCTTGGGAAGCAAAACAGGGAGCCGATCTTGATGTAGACTCCAGTAACTTGGATGGGCTTTCGCCACATGTTGCCTCTTCATATCAGAAGGCCCTCGACATGATGAATGCCAGGACTCATCTTGAGAATCAAATATCTTGTGAAGTTGCACCTGAATCGGAAAGGCTTCAAAACTTTATGGTGCATATCCTGATGCCCTCGTCTATATTTTTGAAACAGGACTCGAAAATGATTGTTTGACAATGATAGTCACACTTCAACAATAGGTATTAAAATTGGATGGCCAGCAAAATTGTTGTAGTATTGTGGAATCATGACTAAATTGATACGCCTGCTATCATGACTTTAGTAAAGGTACATTGTGTGCAAGAATAAGATTGTGTCACATATGTGTAACTTATTAGTTGTTACGGTCTAGAATCATGAACATGCTTTTTGGTTGATTGGATTTTGGCCGAGGCACTTAGATTTTACCTTGGTATACCTAAAATTAACAGAAAGAAAAAACTGTTGAAATTAGGCAATCCCGCATGAGATGAACCCAAATTTTAACCACTTAAGTACAATATAGCTCCTTCTGTGCTATTAAGGACTTGATCAATTTACCAGATACGTTAGACTCAATTATCTGCTAAGAATTCTACGCGTGGTGTTTTCCTGCAGGCTTACTTAAAATTTGAGCAATCGTTGGGGGATCCAGCGAGGATACAGATCTTGTATGAGCGTGCCATAACTGAATTTCCTATATCTAGTGAACTCTGGCTTGATTATACTCACTACATGGATAAAACCTTGAAGGTTTGTTCTCCGGACTTCATCCTTTTTTAACTAATTTGTCATTTCTTGATTGTGTTGAAAACTGACTCAGCTTTAAGTTACGTGCTTTTCTTTGCAGACCTCCAGTCTTGTTCGGGACATTTACAAAAGGGCGACAAGGAACTGTCCCTGGATTGGAGACCTGTGGGTGCGATACTTGCTGTCTCTTGAACGCAGTCGTGCTTCTGAGGAAGAGCTATCTGCTGTATGTCTCCATTCTTGACTTTGCTGGATATTCAATCACTGAATTTTATTCTGATTTTAAGTGTCATCTTTTACCAGAATTTCAAGCTGGAATGGTACGGTCCTTTATGCTTTGGACTTATCTGCTGGAGATCCGGCATTGACTGTCTGTCCTTTATTAATGCATGTTTTAAGTACTTTCTGACAAAATCCCTCATTGTCAAAAGAATTGGATATTTGACACCTGATTGTTTGCTATATATTCCCCAACTTGCTTGGAGTCGGGGTGTAATAGTAGTTGTTGTGTATCGTTTCCTATATTTTCTTATAACTGTGTTATTGCTATTTTGATTTCTGTCGAATTGTTCTTTTCCTTTTTCTTTTCTTTTTTGGTATTAGACAATGATATCTTTTTTACGTGAAACTTAAGAATTTGGCGCTTTAGTTTCCATTCTGCTGTCTGTAATAGCACATGTATCAGTATTTGTGGTGACTGTCAGGATTCTTATTCCATTTTTTGTCATTGTTCCAGGTTTTCGAGAAGGCCCTACAGTGCACTTTCTCAAGCTTTGAAGAGGTTAGGACATATCTGCCTTTTATTGTTATTAGTAGTCAAATTTTTCTCCGCCCATTCCTGTGCGGTATGTTTACTGTGTTATGGTGCAAAACTACATAGGTCTTCTGGTGCTTCCTTTGGACAGTTCCTTTACTTCTGTTAATGAGGTGATGCAATATTAGGTTTAACTACTGCTGACAATTTGCTGTTAATTTTGAATTGCAACTTAGTATTTGATAGAACTTCAAAATGAATAAAAGATTCACTGTATGCCAACAGATGCAAATTTCAGTACTGAAATTTGCTCTATGTTCTCTTCATCAGGCACTTATTAGGGTGGAGTGATTTATTATTTCTTTGCTGAAGACAAATTTTAGCTTTTGGACAATGCAATTGCTGCAAAGAAGTCTGATGTTCATGGAAGTTTTTCAGTGACTTGTTCATCCAAAATAAACGTCGTAGAGAACTAGCATAAGTTAACTCATCCTGTTGTCTCTTAATCAATGAAACTTTTATTTGTTAGGAAGCGCATTGATGTGAATACTTGCTGGTTGCTGTATCCCGTGGTCTCCTTTTGAGATTTAAGAGAGAATGCCCACTTCTGAAAACAAGGAAAATTCGTAGATATTTCTGCAAATTAAGTTGCTATATCTTAGGATCGATTTTATAGAGTTGGTTCTAACCTTCAGCTGCATTGTGTTTTAGGGACTAAATGCACAGTTCATTAGATTATAAACCTATTTATGTTTGTTGCAGTATCTTGATGTATTTCTCACAAGAGTTGATGGCTTAAGGCGGAGGTTGTCTTCGTTGGAATCTGGGACTGAAAGCAGCGACTTAGATTATATAATTATACGGGAAACTTTTCAGGTACACTTTCTAATTACTGAAGAATTTTGACCCTCTCTTGGTGTTTACCCTTGCCTTGGAATTCAGTTTTGGCTTTTGTTTGCTTTGCTGTTGATTCTTGCCTTCAAAGGACTTAACACAACATCTATATCTGATTTTTTAATAAGGTATATACGTTTATTAATGATGGTAAAATATCCTGTATACAAGCAGTAAACCAAAAGGGTAAATTGGTTAATGAAAGCATGAACGGTTAAACAGGCTCTTTGTACAGCAAGAACAGCCAACTATGCTTGGTTTATGAACCCCAACGGTGGTACTTTTGTATTCTCAACTCCCCATCTGTGTAAGCTTTAAATAGATGCAATGTTTGGTTCAATTTTTTTAAATCTTTATAACAAAGAGTTGGCTCAACTTGATATTTTTGGAAATGGCATGTAGTGATGTCCACTATCACAGTTGACTGCTTAATTAACAATTTTGTGTGTCCAAGAATCAGTCTTGACACGATTCTTAATGTTTCTTGCAATACTTTTGAATTTGTCTGTTAATCCTTCTTCTATTGTCTCCTATTCTTTTCTTTGGACTTCCACAATTTCTGATATTTGGGAGTATGACATGACTTGCTATACATCCACATTTCAGCTTGACTATTGTGTTTCCGATTTTTCCATCTCAATGGATTCTCAATTCCTAATTTCAAGCTTCGCCTGCTCATCTCCTTTCCAGTATTATAAAACTCAAAATAGTTAACATGACATTCTTCTGCACTTTCTTATACTAAAATATTCAACATTTAATTTTGGTCTCGCCTGTCCCCTGATGAAATTAAGAGTTTCGCATTAACTCTATCTCAATAGTCATGTTAGGCCAAATGTAGTTTGATATGTAATTGAAACTTTTTATACTATTCACCATCTTAATTGTGCAATTATCCTTGATATTCATTCAAGTCTTTCTAATCTGTTGTAAGAAATAATTCCTTTTCTACATAACCCGACAATGAAACTTCTCTTCCTGACCTTTTCTTCCAGCGTGCTTCAGATTATTTGTCTCCACATCTGAAGAATACAGAAAGTTTATTGCGGATGTATAGATATTGGAGCCGCTTAGAATCAACTCTGGGGAAAGATCTAGCTGCAGCTCGTCGTGTCTGGGAGAGCCTGCTTAAGATCAGGTTTTCATGATATGTTCCCTTGTTCCATTTAGAGACATCAACATGCTTAAATTTAATGTTTTGATCCAAGTTTCTTCCTTGTATTTTCTTTGTTGTAATGTGGCTTGTTTTGCAGCGGATCTACGCTAGAGGCGTGGCAAGGATACATAGCTATGGAAGTTGAGATGGGTAAAATTAGTGAAGCTCGATCCCTCTTTAAGAGATGCTACAGTAAACGATTCCCTGGGAGTGGCTCGGAGGTATGTTCTTGTAACGAAATCGCTTAGATCATGCTGTCAAATTCTACCTCCTATTAGGACTATCACCTCTAGCTTGTTGGTTGTGAAACTGTTGAACCATCTGTTAACAGTACCTATAACATGTTCACTTAATTTTCCTCAAAGTGCCTCACACATCATCTCTTGGTTCAGTTGAATTTGATCCTTCTGAACTTTAGCAAAGAGTTCCTTTAGGGCTAGGGAAATTTTCAGTTATGATCTTATTAATTATATATTTTTGGAACAGTCAATTTGGAAACAAATTTGGGGCCATGAAAAGTAACTTTTATCTGCAATACTTTGTGTATTTGAGGTACGCAAGTCTTTTTGTGCTTTGAAGCATGATTTTTGTCACATCAGCCCAATCTAATAAAGTCTCTTAAGAAAAGAAATGTGCACCTTATACCCGAGAAATACCTCTTCACTAATTAAGTATCATCGATTATGCTGTTAGTGTGGAAACATACTTTATAAATGAAAATATGCCCGAAATCGTGTTGGTTTCAAGCAGTTTTTTAATAATTTGGTAAAAATGGGAGCAAAATCCAGAAGATTCTCGGTGGATGCTTTATTTGGCTCCATTTTGTGCTATCCTCTATGTGTAGCTGTTATATTTTATCTTTTACTGGATCGTCCTTTGCTGCCTAAGTTGCTATTCATTTTGAATTAGATGACACCTTCTTCTTCTAAAAAACAGAATCATTCAGGACATATGCAATTCATGGATTCGCTTCGAGAGAGAGTATGGTGCACTTGAAGACTTTGACTTTGCCGTTAAAAAGGTAATGCAGTTTAATATCATTGCTTCTAGAGTTCGCTCATAAGTGTGTTAATTCGTGCTTCAGTTGAAAGTAAGATGTGATGATACAGGGAGCAGTCCTTTATGTGCTATAGAGAAATATTTCATATCTCTCTGATGCATTCTAATTACTCAAGATTAGTAATTATGCTAACTCTGTTCCATGAGCAATATAAAGAAAATTAGAAATTTAGTTATCTGCCTAATGTTGCCTAAAGCCTCATAGCTTGTGTCAGTGACGGAATTATGATTTTTACTTTTTGGTGCATCAGTCACATTTTAGTAAAGAAAAATATTTCAGATGGAGCTACTCTCTTTGTGTTTTTTTTGGGTGCATCTGTTATTCCTTTTCTGACGTGAGAATTCTGTTCCCGAGTATCTTATTGGTGGAGTTTGAGTAGAATTTTTTTTCTGATGGATCTGCTTCTCCTTTCTCCAATTGTCTCAGGTCACTCCTCGCCTTGAAGAACTGCAGTTATTCAAGTTACAAGAGGCTAAGAACATTGGTGTGCCAGCAGATGATAGAGACAATTCCTCGAGGAAAAATGTGCGTGAAAAGAGGAAGCCAGTATCAAATTTAATTGAAGAACAATCTCCTGCTAAACGTCACAAAGATAAAACTAAGAATGTTAAGATCACTTCTGAAGATGGTAAAGGCCAAGCTAAAGACTCAGTCAAGGTAAATAATACAAATCCAGATGTGGATGCCAGCAAACCAGCGAGTGGAAGCAAAAAAGAAAACAAAGATGTTTCTTCCGGAAAACCAAAGCAGTATAATGACCAGTGTACTGCATTTGTATCTAATCTTAACCTCAAGGTAAGTTGTATGTTGGTGTTTCTTGAAGTTTAAATACTCTGTGAATGAAATTACTTGCCTTAGCGGCCTTCAGTTAATTGTTTGTTTGTTACTGAGACAGGCAACGTATGACGACCTACGCAGATTCTTTAGTGATGTTGGAGGAGTGGTTGCTATACGAATATTGAATGACAAGTTCACTGGAAAGTCAAGGGTATCTCTCTTTCTCTAGACATACACACATCAACAAGTTTAGTTTATCCTTACCTGCTTTGTCTCAACACTGCCGTGTTAAAAGTGCTTTCTCTTTTGCTAAGATCAGCAGAAACACTTGCCCTCTAGTTTTTATTATGAGACCTAGACAAGTTTTGATGATCATTAAAAGTTCCCCTTTTATTTTTCTTTTCCGCTACTCCCTGGTTCCTATTTTATGAGATATCCTTTATTACCTGGAAAGTCAAAACAGTTTTTCTTTTATTTTTGCCAACAATTTTACCTTTATTTTAAATTTCTAAACATTGTGCATTCTGGAACTTCTATAAAAGTTCTTAATATGTGAATATTTTTTCCAAGAAGTCAAGGAGTCAATGTATAAAATAACAATGTGAAAATTAGATGTCTGACTTACTTCGGCCCCTACCGTTTAATTTTTTTTTTTTGTTGGGGGGAGGGATACATTTTTTTTACGGATAAGAATAAAGGAAGAAAGAAAGGAGAAGAGCAGTATTGTCATTTGAGACCCATACTTAGTCACCTGTATTGGGTTGGAATGCACAAACATCTAGCTAAGTGAACAGCTTGTATGGACACAGAGTTTGAACCTCCAGCAATTTTGAAGTTTCATGATCCACTGAGAATGCAATCATCAGAATCAATTAAATGAATCTGACTAGATCGTTGACCTAGATTGGTCAATGGGTTATTAGAATTAATTAGTTTTTTGAAGTTCCCAAAAAAAATGGGACTTGTGCATAGAATTGAACATTTCTGACCTATATTAGATGTGATGTCATAATTGTTTTCTTTCTTGGACATGTTAAGGGATTGGCTTATGTGGATTTCTGACCTATATTAGATGGGATGTCATAATTGTTTTCTTTCTTGGACATGTTAAGGGATTGGCTTATGTGGATTTCTCGGATGACAAACACCTGGCTGCAGCCGTGGCAAAAAACAAGCAGACCTTGCTTGGGAAGAGATTGAGCATTGCTAAGTCAGATCCCAAAGGCAGAAAAAAAGGAAGCGATTCTCACAGCGCGTCTTCAAGACAAGGTATCACACTATGTCTTGCTTCAGTTGTTTTCACTGGTTTTGCACATTCTTATTAGTTCCGTTCTCTACCTTAAGGTCATTGCTTCATAGATACCTCTTCATTTCATGCCAACGCTTGGATAAGACAACTGATGTGTAACACAATGAAATGCTTATTGATGCAAAGATTATTCCTTTTTGGCGCATACTTGCCCGAGTAATTTCA